CTTGCAGTTGCTCTTGACCTCATGCGGCTCGTACTCTTCTGGTGCTCCAGTCTGGTCGCCTGATTCCGGAGCTGGTTCCGGAGGGACGAAGGAGCTCGTTTCGGCTTTGGCATCCGCTTGGCCTCCCACTTTAGGAGATAAAATATGGGTATATGGTGATCCTATTATGCTTATACGGAATTCCATATTCTATCTACTTTGAGAGACTTAGAGGGACTATACGTACAAGTTAGGTTATCATGACAGATGTACACACCCTGGTTGGTGCTGTAGTTTGGTTCTCCCACTTATAACTGGTAAGCCTACTTCACTGCCGACGGGCCCTACAAGTATATTAGTCCCCCAGCAGGTACGTTTAAAGTTTGACCAAATCCGCCTGCGTGCGCGGGTCAGCATGCGCGTAGTAGGAAGAGGGTTTGGGGCCTATGTAGTTTACCAATAATACTTCAGAAGCATTTGGGGCTTTGAGTTTGGGGCTTTAAAAAGTGAAACAGGGTTCGGGGCTTCGGTGAAATCACCTCCTCTGTTTCAGGAAACTCCCTTAAAAATGAAACTGAGATGCCTTCGTATACCGATCCTGTCCATATGCACACAGAAGTAATCACTTCCTATCAACATTACCCCACTCCCACCAATAATATTAAAAAGAAAACATAAGAGACTCTTTGCATATGTTTGGGGGGGAGGGGTTGGGGCATATTTTAATTTATGCTAGGGGGCAACGGGGCATTTAATGTTAGTATGAAGGGATTACAACACAAAGTGGCTTCCTGCGGTTCCTCAATACCATGCTGGCCTGCTGGGGCCCTTGTATTCTTGCCATGCAGCTCCTTCAACCCGCAGTTTCCGCTCATCTATGCGCGCCCTTACAATGTTACTAGTTACAAGTTTGGAGCCATATGAAACACCTATGCGCAGTGGTGCCCGGTGCGTATCATTCAGAAGTAGAATTAGAATGCTCCAGCGTCTCTCCGTCCACCTCTTCCAGCCTGTTCCTGAACATCGCCGATAAGTATATGATCAAGTTTCTACACGAGAGATCACCATGGAAACCCTACAGACTCTCTCAAGGATACCGTACGACCTAGAGGAATCCTAATACCCCAGAAACTAGAAGCAACTCCGATCATCCCTAATCCGCAACGTTACGCCCCAAACCCCGAACAATCCTAATCGCTGATATTAAACATCCTGCATGACCTTAGCATACTGAACTACTATCATCCCCAGCATACATGGAAATTAGGGTTTGGGGTTTAGAGTTTTGAGGGTTACGGGTTTTGCCACAAGGTTGAGGATGTTAGGGTCATGCAGGATTTTGCGCATCTGCCATAAGAAAGTCGTAGGAGCGGGTTCTGCAGGCAGAGCCGATGCAAGCGGCACCGAGGGATGCGAAGGCCTAAGGCTTTTCCGGTTGAATGGTCTACTCTCTCTCTAGTGCTGACTAGGTAGCGCGGTTTAGGCTTCAGGGGTTGAGCTTTACCGTTCAGGGAGGGCTTAGGACGTCCAATCACCAGCTGATAGGAGGTGGGGGGGATAGGTCAAAGGGGCACAAAATTCCCTCATTTCCTGCAAGCACCAGCTGGACGTTTCGGATAATGTCCTGGTCTGGGGTTTGGGTTCAGATGTCAGGGCATCCACCCAGTCATTCCCACATGAAAGTTCATTCGAATTGTATCAAGCGTCGCATGAGGAATTCACAGGCCTCAGGTCACTACTGGACATGTAGGAACCTACATAATTTCCAATTTTGTCTTGAGGTCTATTTCAGGCACTCTATACCATAATTGTACCAAAAAACTCAGACCCTAATATTGGAAATTACTCAGGCTCTTACGTTGACTCCTTTACTGTCATCTCCCTTGACTTGTGGCTTCTGGAGGTATACTTTGGGGGCTTAGGGCTCAGGAGTTCAGAGGTAAGAGCCGTTTTTCAGAAGTCTGCTGTCGACAAAAATGCCCCAGCAAGTAGCCGTGTCAAAGGCTTCACTCGTGGTGACCAAATCATACCTAACAAATATGTTTGCTCCTCGGTCGTTGTCACTCGTCAGGACATGGCCCCACAAGCGAAGCACCACATCTACCACAGTTCGCCACAGCGACATTGGACGGGTATTGAAACTGTTTCTTCTCGAGGGCACTTCTGGAAGTGATTTGATCATATTGCTGTTGCTCTTTCTGGCTGCACCCCAGCAGCCAAGGCGCACGCCCGATAGCGTTAACAACTACTTAATTATTGCGTTTACATTTGTAAAACATGAGTTTCCAGGAGTGGGGCACAGGCCATAGCGACTTTTACGGTCTTTAAAAGGAATGCTGGAACCGCTTGCCCAGGAACAGTATACTCCTTATGCAGACAAAGCCCTCCGCCCAACTAACACAGCGGGCGTTGCAAAAGCTAGGTCTCAAATTTGGAGCCGGTCTGCTGAGTAGAGTTCTTCTGGTATGTATTTGAGACCTCCCAGTGATTAGCAATACCCAGATTCGCATGTCCCCCTATACTTGGAGAATGTGTTGCCTCATCCTCTACGAACCATGGGCAGTGACAACAAAACTTAAGTCAAACCCTTAACAAGCGGAACGCTTCTGGATGCTTCTGGTGTGTCGGTCTGAAGTTTCCGGTGGGACTTGAAGGTTTTTAGGCTAGGGTTTCGGGGTATTGATTCAAACCGTCCCATGCTGAACCCCATTTATGATCTGATAACAACTCCTATGAAAGCCCAGTTTCTGGTTCGTTTTCCACCTTCTTTTCCCTTTCATTTCAGTTATGAGGGTACTATCGCTACATATATGCATCACAAAATAAACTGGCAGCAACATGTTGTAGCCTAGGCTGCCAATCGTGTAAACGGTTTGGCTTGCTGTTTCTTGGGATCGAGTTCCTGGTGCTGATACTATGAACTATGTATGATCTGAAAATCAATATACCATACCATACTTTTGATGATCGAAATTCTGCATGACTTCAGCAAGAGACTACGCCACAATTCCCAAGGCGCAAGGTACTTGTGGGCATACAAGAAACACCCCTATAAACCACTATATAGTCTTAGCTCCGATTTCATTTTCCAATTTGCCATTTGATTCTCCAGTATCTCTAAACCCTACGTCCCTAAACCCTAAAACCTAAATCCTAAAACCCTGAATGCCTACACCATGTATCCTCGTTAGCTCCCAATGTTGCGAAACCTAGGCCGTGCAGACATCTGGATATCATCCGGATCCTGTGTCAATTGGCTGTTACGTTAGATCCAAGAGACCTTCAGCTTCAACGCTTGAACGAATCGCGAATGACTTGTTTAGGGCTTGGGGAAAGTTAAGGGTTTAAGGCTTAGTTGAGAATGAATTGTAGCACGAAGTCCGAAAATTGAGGGTCTTTAAGGTAAACGTGATCATATCAGGATCATCTCTGGCATGGTCAAAGGCATTGTCATATTTGGAGTCTCCAACTACGGCCACTCAAAATGCTCCAGAAAGGCCCTCTACTACCTGTGAAAAGGAACGTGCCATCAAGCCTGCCGGGGCTTACGGGTCTAGGGTTCAGGGCTTCAGGGTAATCTTCTGGCTGCGCTCTAATTACGATCACCCACCTCGCATAAGTTTCATCTAGTTCACAATGTCTCTAGGCGCAGGACAAATGCCCCCAACGCATGCGAGTGGCACTGTGGCTGCAACTGCCCCTGCCGCTGCTTCGTCGTGGATGACCTGCTTCAAAAGTTGCCGGAGGCAGCGCAGCAATTACATGCTGTCTCTAATACTTTTCGGAGTCATTTAGGGTAACTACCCAGAAAGGGACAATGATTTTCATTCTCTTCGCAAAAGTGTTGCAAGATTCGGGGGTTATGAACTGCAAAAGTTGAAGGGTCCATGACTGGAAGTTTTGGAGGGTGGAAACGTAAACCCTACCAGTAGGAGGAAACCGGGCCGGGTCCCGAAAAGGATAGACAAACAAGTTCGACCAAAATAGACATGTTCTAGTTTCCCAAGATTAGGGTGTAAGGAGTAGAGCCGGCATAGGATATTAGGGTTTCAATTTGGGACCCTTATTTATGGAAACTTCACGTGTGAAATTCTCCTAGTATATCCCGTGTTGCGAATACTTCAGAAAATTACCCAGGCACTAAGCCCGAAAAGCTGTTGGTGCTTGCCAGGAGCAGTGGTGCGTTTGTCAAAACTCTTGAATCGACCTCTCCGACAGTCATCTAACACATGCTACATAATTTAAGTTAACCCTAAATCCCAACACACAGTAGTAGACAAGCTCCGAGAAGATCCTAATGGAACGCTAACCTCCACCAACACTGCCATACCTACTCTAGGGATCCCACAAAAATTTCCAACATCATGTTGAGGTCTCTTTCAGGTACCCTATACCATAAGAAGATACGAAATCTAGGACCATATCCCGGACCATAATACTGTAATTTATTCAAGCCCCTACATCATCCGCTTTCGGCAACTTCTTTGACCGCTCTTCTTGACCACAAAGCCAAAGGAGGTTGGGCCTCAAAACAAAAAGCTAGACTTCTGTCTGCAATAACCTCTCCAACCTGATGCATTTTCGAAAGACATCTCTTAAAATCTAAAAAGACTTCTACCATCATTGAACGCCTCGCTTGCGGTTGGCGCCACCTCGCTGGTGGCCGTTGCTGCCTCCTCGCAGGGCTCTGAAGGTTGAAGTGTTCTACATGAGGTTTAGGGTTTAAGGTCCAGTGTTTAGGGTGGATTTCCACAAGAATGGAGCCAAAAAATTATTGATAATATGGCGTTATATGGAGCTACATAAGGTTTGGGATTTTGCCACGACAACCCAGAATCATATGGAGGTGTACTTCAGGTACCCCATACCATAGTTACATCCGGAATCTAGGACCATAATATTGGTGATCAATCAAGCTTTTTAACTAAGGTCCAGGATTCGGTGCCTCGACGGCTTAGGTAAAAGGCTAGGAGGATTATAAGGATGGCGGTACTCGCCGCGTCAGGTACTGCGACATCTGCCTGCAGCGTGGTTTCTGCCGCCGCATTTGCAGAGGAGTCACCATTGCCCGGGGCCACCTGAACACTTCCAGAACTAATTGGGGGGGTATATAGGGATTATGTAGGTTTGCACGCGGGTCTGTAAGACTTCTGAAGACAAGATACGATGGTGCTTATTGTGGAGACTTTCGAAGTTGAATCCCTAAAACTTTGGAAGCCCCCCACCTCTGCATCAAAAACATCTCTTGCTAAAGTTGCGTGGCGGGAGATCTCCACCGAACATTGCGTAGGCGGTTCTGCACCCACCTGCACGCCAGCTCCATACAGGACCTTATCAAGGAGATTTCAGTCATCCTAACCACTGTAATAAGGACCCTGTACCTATCATCTGACTCTGTTTGAGTCCTGATTTAAGGGTTGGGGTAAGCAAAGCTCCCGTAGTGCATGAGAAAGCCTTCGGGAGGCCTGTCTTTGGGGGTCCAAACTTGTGAGTCTCCTTGATACGGGGCCTGTTAAGAGTCTCCCTGATCCAGGCCCTCTTAAGGATTCCTTGTTGGTTGCAGGGTGTACCATTCAAATAGCCGATCACACGATGTTCCCAAGTTCTCACCTACGGGTTAGTTCAACCTTCGAGGCTATTTCAGGATGTGCCAAAAGCGCCATGTCCTGCGCCCAAAGGTACCATCACGTGGTTATATTGCCCTCCCCATCGCTCCTCACTTCTATGTGGGAACCATATAATATGCCCAAGCAGCCTCTGCCCAATTGCAATCGAACTCTTCTTCAATATCGAAGGGCCTCGTGTATACGCTTGGGCGGGGTGTGACAAGGACAGCTTGCCTGAAATAATTTTCTGAGGCAGGAGCTCCTCAGCGCTTCCATCTTGATTGTCGCCCTGTCCAAGGCAAGAGGTGACTCCCCAACCAGAAGCGCATCTAACTTCTCAGTGTGCTCAAGGCCTCTCCATCCGTCTGGCAACAAGCATCGAATGCTTCCAGCTTGCGACACCTCGGTGCGCCCACACAAGCAACATCTCTACCAAGGAGAGTGGTCTGAGGCATGGGCTGTGTGGGCTGCGCGTGCTGAGCTTCAAGAAGCTCAGAGATGAGTGCGCGATCGTGCACGCCCTGAAGCCTGGCCTCTCGCAACCGGCTCCGGAGCTCGCGGGACCTCAAGCCCAAAATCCCTGAAGCACACCTCTGGAAAGATGGCTGCAGTCTCATGATGTGCCACCTGCTGCTGGAGAGTGCGATCGAGACACTCCTCCTCAAGCTTCTGGCGTTTACTTTCCTCCTCCCCAAGCTGAGTGACAAGGTTGAGCTTGGCCTCCACCACATGGGGTTAGGGTACCTGTATACACCCTAAAGTAGTTACATGGCAACTGAACTCTTTGGGCCCTAGTAGAATTATACTATGTAGACGTGACATGCTTACCAGGAGTAGCAGACTCTTCAAAAGCTCAACAGTGCCCAGCAGATTACGGGCAAAAAAACGTAGCTACACAGCTGTAAACAAATATCTAGCTCTCTTGCCCACAGCCTGCTGCAGCGCATGGTTCTTGCCCAGCGCGGGCTCAAGCTCCCGCAAGCGATCAGCCAGTTTGAGGTTCTCCTCCAACATGTTTCTTGTTGGAGTGCCACAAGAAGCCCGCTTCTACATCTGTGGAAATGAAATAACCCTGGCTGAGTCGTCCGAAGCCTGCTCTCGCTCGAGGTTGTTGCAGGTCTCTAGCTCATAAGCCGTGCGCAGCTTGTGGTGGGCATTTCTGCGCATGTTGCAGATCTCTAGCAGCCTGCGCGGACTTGCGCGGACACAGCATCTGCATGTGGTCAGGCCCGCTTGAGCCACGAGTCCTATGCTGAGGCTGTCTGAGATCTCGACTCTTTCAGCTTCTTATCAAACTCCAAGACTTGCTCTGTGATGCTTGTGATGTCAAGCTCACCGGTGTCGGAGTGCTGAGGCCTGAAAGCAGCCAGGTCAACAGGAAGAAAACATAGAAAATCGGAGCAAGGAGCATAACAAGACAAGGTGCATCGCTGTTGTGGGCGCTCCAGGCGAGTGCCTCAGCTACTTGGGGCCTATGCTCCTGCATTTGAATTATTCGGCCAAACATGGAGCTGTCGAGGAGCTTCGTAGGCGACAGCTCAAGCTCATCGGAGATGAGCGCAAGGGCCCCTTCGAGTGCCTTCACCAGCTCCTTGCAGCAAGCCTCGGCTTCCAGGCGCTGCTCGCACTCCTCCGCCAGCTCCTCGCGCTCGGCTTCAACCAACCTCGGCCAGGGTTATCCAAAAGTCTTAGACTTCATCTCGCACCTCCAAGTCAAGCACCAGCAAGCCCGCTCTGGATTGAAGGCAAGGAAGACTTGAAAGCATCAGCATGATGAGTTGCTTTCGTTCACCCTCTTAAGGAAATTTCAACAAGTTCAGTGGGCAACACGCGCCATGCTCTGGGCCACACAGTTGATCTTGCTTTGAGGCCCCGGCTCCATGTAATCACTGAGCAACTGCTCTTGCAACTGCTCTTGCGGAGTCCTTGGGTCATTCAAACACGCAACCAGAACATCGCACCTTGTCACGCCAACCGGAAGGTCACAAGTAATGATAGTTTCCCAAAATAGGGGAACGCAATATGGACCCCAAAATACTTTTCATCCTCATTATATAGAGACCCCAATGGGTACCCTCATTTTGGGAAGCTTCTAAACCCCATATAACCCCATATAACCCCGTATAACCCCACAAACCGATTTCAGGGTACCCCTACTTTTGGTAAACCCCCAAATGGCCGAGACACTTCAGGGTTAACCATATCTCTGGCGTCAGTGGCTCTTGCGCAGGATAGAGCGGCTTTTTCGCAACCCCATCGACCACACCATCATGGGAGCACTGCGCCTGAGCTGGCACAAATGCCTGCTGCTGGCCAGGAGCGCCCTGGCTGAGAGCAGACATGGCAAATGCAAACTATGGATACAAGCGCTAAGTAAGAATTTGTTGCTGCAACATGTCGCTGATCACCACAGCAAACCTCCGCAACTACCCAAGCCCAGCAAAGCAGGGCCAGACCCACAAAGCTTGCTCAAATCATCAACTTCAATATCTGGACCCTGTTCGCAATGTTTGTGCATTTCTTGTTTGAGGCTTGTACTCACGGCATTGACATGTCTTGTCATCAGCCAGCCCGGACAACCAAAACTGATGCTGGCAAGTCTGCAGGGAAGTTGACCAACTTCTCGACGCTTTACAGTGGGAACCCTTTTTCTTGCCGCAGGGACTGCCGAGGAGTCACATGTAAAGAGACAGGGGGGCGGACAACTGACAACAGCTCCTGCCCCAGAGCAATACAGAGTAACCCAATGATAAGTGGGTTTTGTTAACTGAAATCCCTCATGTCCCCCCTAGCAGAGAGCTCGAGCCTCATTGAGACCTGACAAAGCCTCTGCCGAAGCGAGTGCTTTTCAAAGCCAAGAGGAGAGTCTATCCCATCTACGCATCCTCAACTTGTTAATTTGGCGGAACAGTACTACACAGCATTGAGAGTTCAGTTCTTACCATCGCTACCTAAAGTACCTAGTCATAAAGGATATCCGGGCCAAAATGGCCGACCTCCCAGCCAAACGAGGAGTCTCCAGATTCGGCGCTCTAGGCCCTTTTCGACCACACCATTCCAGCCGCTCCGTCCTCCAGAAATAGGATATAATCGACAGATCTGGACCTCCCAACAGTTCAACAGCAATATGATTTTATTTAGACACATTTCCAAGAACACTCTCACTTACCTGGGGACTTGCCCTCATTTCCTTTGCCTCTACCTTTAGACTTACCTCCCTTCCTTGGATGATCAGGTGAGCCCTCTCTAGCCTTTCGCTTTGCACCTTTACCGTAATTTTGAAGATCTATGGAGTGGTCTTCCATGGCTTGCGCTCTGGAAGCTTTGCAAAGTT